GGTCCAGCACTTGCCACAGCTCAGTCTTTGTTTCTCAGGCTACTACTGGACACCTCTTGTGTGGAGAGGCAGGAAGAACTGATGAGCTCACTCCCAGCTTTATATAGCTATATACCATGCTGTGGAAAAATACAGACCTCCCAAGGTGGACACTAGAGACACGTCACCTGCCCTTGGAGGGTCACAATAACCATTAATTATAGGCTCTCTGGAGTGTTCTCCGTGAGGCTCAGCAGGTGGGAGATACATTTCTCCAAAGTCCTATTGTTTCCCATAATGACTCATTACATTGAGTAGGCCCTTTCCAAACAACCATCTAGATTGAAAGCATCTTGCCTAGTGGGAGATAGCCAGGAGTAACCACATCTGAAAAACAGATCCAGAGTTCATACGCATGGCCTCTAAACACAAAAACGATACATGGAAACAAATAGGATAATCATATCCATCAAATCCTACCATTTCCAGTGATGCCTTACATGACACATCTTGCACAAAACACACCATAAGTTGCAATAACTATATCATAACAGGCCTTGGGAGGCAGGCCAGTCCTCGCCCACAGACAATCCGCCAACCTGAATCAAATTCTCACCAGCAACTATACACTGCACCACAGTAACTCTAACTTAGGAACCAACTCCTGCAAGAAAACCTCAGTGCCAACTCTACCCACGTATCTACACCAGCAACACCATCACAGGACCTAATCACATCTGCCACATCATCACAGGTTCATTCACTAGCACATCTACCAATGTAATATACGCCACCCTGTGCCAGCAATGCCTCTGTGCCATATACGTCGGCCAAAATGGACAGTCCCTATGCAAAAGAATAAATGGACACAAATCTGATATTCAGAATGGCAATATACAAGAACCTGTAGGAGAACACTTCAATCTTCCTGGATACACAGTAGCAGATCTAAAGGTAGCCATCCTGAAGCAAAAAAACTTCAGGACCAGACTTCAGAGAGAAACTGCTGAGCTGCAGTTCATCTGCAAATTTGATACTATCAGTTTAGGTTTAAATAAAGATTGTGAATGGCTAGCCAACTAAAAAAGAAGTTTCTCCTCTCGATGTTCACACCTTCAGATCAGCTGCTAGAAGTGGGCCTCATCCTCCCTGACTGATTTAACCTCGTTATCTCTAGCCTGATTCTTGCCTGCATATTTATACCTGCCTCTGGAAATTTCCACTACATGCATCCGACGAAGTGGGTATTTGCCCACAAAAGCTTATGCGCCAATAAATCTGTCTAAGTTGCCACAGGACTCCTTGTCGCTTTTGCAGATCCAGACTAACACGGCTACCCCTCTGATATACATATATATATAGTAGTCCAATGTCTGTGACTCTGAAACACTAAAGCGTTCGGAGTTGCCTCTGGGGGGCACTGTTGCCTCCCGCCATGGTGCTTGGCTGATTTCTGTGCCACTCAGCCAGGCTGCTGCGCAGGAGCAAGCAGGGCAAACAGCCATTTGGGCTCCGTGCTCCCCATGCAGGAGGAGGAGGAGAAGAGAAAGAGAGATGGAGAGAGAGACAGGAGACAGAGGAGTACTGAGAGTGAGAGGGGGGAGTCAGTAGGAAACTGAGGCAATGGCCCCGAACAGTGCTCCAGTGGGATGTATCCCTCCCAACGCTGGTGTGGATCTGGAAAACCACCTGGAATGTAGCCAGACAGGAACCCCCCTGTAAAATTCATTTTTGCTTGCCTGGAGCACACAGGGCACACAGAGCAGTAAGCCTTGAACAGGAGGCCCGGATAGGCAGGCTGCTGTGACCCTGGATGGCTGTAAACAGAGATACACCAATTGCTGACCAAGAGGTTGCCAAGGAGTGCCCTTGACTGAAACCCATATTGATACAAACACACGTCCACGGGGGGAGGAATCTCTCACCCAGTAAAAAAATGTCCAGTACTCAAATTTAGTTATCTTTCTTGAAAGTGTAAATTAAGTTGAAACTTGCTTGTAAGAACTGGCGTCACAAACGGACCAGTACAATTTGGGGTTAAGACCCTACATCAGGCCTTTCGCTGGGGGTCTGCCGAGCTCTGAAACCCTTACGCAAAGAAACTAAGGTTGCCAGGGGTCTGGTTTTCACCTGGACAGTCCGGTATTTGCGACCTCTATCCGGTAAAAATAACCCAGAAAATACTGGACATACAAAATGTCCAGTATTTTCTGTTTTTTCTCGGACGGAAGGCTGGCAGGGGTGGCGGGATAGGTGAGTGGCCTCCCGAGGTTCCACAGGGACTCCCACCTCGTAATCGTCTTTCCTAGGAATTGAGGGACTGGTCCTGGCTTGACCCGCTGGAGTCGAGAGGCACAGAAGGGGGTAAAAATTGGTCCTTTGTCTTAAGTGTACACATAGACTTAGAGCTCTTTAAAGATTAAGCTGTCACTTGGTACCATTATTTCTATTTTCTATCTTTATTTTCTTTGTAACCATTTTTAAGATCTATATTTGCCAGCAGTTAAGAAATAGAGCAATAGCCGTTGTAACCATATGATTTATAAGCTTCTTTAATAAACCTGTAACTGTTTAAGCTTTAACCTGACTCCTTCAGTTGCTGTAACAGAACCAAGCACAATTTAAAAAAACTTCAGCTGGTCATAAGGGTCAGGTATAGGAAGAGCTTGGGCATTTTGGATTGTGTCACTCCCAGGTGACAGATCCGTTGGGGCATCTCTCAGTCTTCCCTAGACTGCCCGTTGCGAAGGGATCCTGTATCCTAGCAGTTAAAATCTGAGATGTAATAAGCTCTTCCTATAAACTCTGGGGCGTCTGTCAGCCTTTTGGCTGCCCTCCACGACAGGCCCCCATCCTAGTGGTAAAGACACGGACGTTAAACTCTGGGGCGTCTGTCAGCCTGTTGGCTACCCGCTGCAACGATACCCCAGTCTAGCGGTAAAAGACACAGGCGTTAAACTTCTTGGGGTGCCTTTCAGCCTCCTAGACTGCCCACTGCAATGGGACCTTGCATCCCAACAGTTGAAGACTTGGGTGTAACACACACACACATTGCTCTGACCATCGGCTAACAGGCCATCAGAGCTTCCTTTTGCAAGAGAGCGTCTACACTGTCATGGATGCTCTTGCGCAAAAGCACATCTCTTGAGCAAAAGCACATGCCAGTGTAGACGCTCTCTTCTGGAAGAGTTTTTGCACAAGAACTCTTCCACAAAAGAGCTCTTGCGTAAGAAGCTGCCAGTGTAGACGTAGCCCTAATGTGGTTACTGAGCAATGCAACACTGCATTGTCTACACTGGTGGCTTCTTGCGCAAGGACAACTTGCACAAGGGTTCTAGTGCAAGAAGTCTTGCCCAAAAACACATCCACATGGCCATGTGCGAGCTGTGCTTTTGCACAAGAGCATCCATGGCAGGGTGGACACTCTCTCGCGCAAGAAAGCTCTGATGGCCATTTTAGCCATAGGGCTTTCTTGCACAAGAAATCCCTGCCAAGCATCCACACTACCCTCTTGCGCAAGAGCTCCTGAGCAACAGGGCTTACACCTGTTTAAAAAGAGCGTAGCTCTTGTGCTAGGAGCTCTCTCTTCCCACGCCGTACAGTAAATCCTCTTGCGCAAGAGCAGGTGGGCAGTGGGGACGCTTTCCAGAAGAACGGCCGTTCTTGTGCAATAACCTGCCAGTGTAGACATAACCCTAATGTGGTTACTGAGCAATGCAAGTGGTACCTAGACCACGACTACAGGTAAGATCAAGAGACCTCTGCAGCATGGTCTGGGAGCCAGCTGGCTTTTAGCTCAGAGGGTAGAGGCACCTATAGTCAGCTCCCGAGGTCCCAGATTCAAATCCGTCCAGTTGGCGGTTACACAAATGTTGTCCAGAGCTGTTCATTTTAAAGGGTATGTCTACACTACAACGTTATTTCAAAATATCTAATTTCTAAATAGTTATTTCAAAATAAGATATTTCAAAATAACACATCTACACCCAAATTGCATTTTGAAATAGCATTTGGCTATTTCCAAATAGCGCATCCACACTGATTGGACGCTGAATTGCATTTAATGCCATCCAGAACTGGTTCCGGCAGGGCATCAGGTCAGAAGTTACTTTGTGGCCATGGCAGCCAGCAGGGCACCCTGGAAAGGGCTGAAGGCCCCCTATTTCGAAATAAGCATCTACATAGCACTTATTTCGAAATAGCAATTTCAAAATTGGCATTATTCTTCATGGAATGAGGTTTACCAATTTCGATATAAGCCCTCTGCTATTTCAAATTAATTTCGAAATAGCGGTTGGCTTGTGTAGATGCTAGGAAAGTTAGTTCAAAATAACAGCTGTTATTTCGAAATAACTTTGCTGTGTAGACATACCCAAATTTGAAAGTCAGCAGAGGAGTCACCGTTCCGAGCCCACATCGGAAACCACCATCCCACGGTCTCCAATCAAACCCAGCAGGAAAGAGAAGAATGTGCAGCGTAGGCAGACTGCCGTATCCCACTAGGCAGTCATTTAGAAAGAAACCCCTTCTTCTAAAATAACTGGTAAAACTCGTTGTAGAAGGAATAAGGGTTATTTCAGAAGAAGGGTTTCTTTTTTCGAAATAGGGCTATTTCGAAATAGCGCCATACCGCAAATATCATAGAATCATAGAATAATAGGACTGGAAGGGACCTCGAGAGGTCATCGAGTCCAGCCCCCCGCCCTCAAGGCAGGATCAAGCTCCGTCTACACCATCCCTGACAGATGTCTATCTAACCTGTTCTTAAATATCTCCAGAGAGGGAGATTCCACCACCTCCCTTGGCAATTTATTCCAATATTTGACCACCCTGACAGTTAGGAATTTTTTCAAATATGCAAATGAAGCGTGGGAAATTCAAATCTTCACTTCATTTGCAATTTTCCTCAGCTGCATTTGCATCCCTCTCTCTCAAGAGGGTGCAAATGTAGCCATACCCAAAGAGGCCGTGTCTAAGAAACTATTTCAATTCAGCTCCCCTTTATTCTAAAATTTGCCCTTTCATCCTCTCTGTCTATTCCTGAGAGCAGCCAATTTCAGAAGAGCTTTTCTCAGGGCCTCGTTCACCTCCTTGTTTCTCAGGCTGTACACAATGGGGTTGAAAAGTGGGGTCAGCAGGGTATAAAAGACTGAGAATATTTTGTTTAAGATCTTGGTAGTGTTGGCTGAGGGAACCACATAGACCGTGATCACGGTCACATAGAAAATGGCAAGCATAATGAGGTGGGAGGAGCAGGTGGAAAAGGCCTTTTGGCGCCCGGTGGCAGACGGGATCCTCAGGATGGTGGAGATGATATAAATGTAGGACGTCATAGTGAGGAGAAGGGGTACAAATGTCCATAGCGTCGCAATGACAAACGTTGCCAGTTGTAAAATCTGGGTGTCATCACAGGACAGCTTGATGAGGGGAGCAAAATCACAAAAGAAATGGTCGATCTCTCTGGAATCGCAGAACGTGTGTTGCATCAATAAAATCATTCCTATGCTGCACGTGGTCAAGCTACTTAGCCAGGACCCCGCCACGAGCTGGCAGCAAACCCTGCCGTTCATCACAACGGGATAGTGGAGGGGTTTGCATATGGCTAAGTACCGATCGTAAGACATGGCCGTGAGCAGCAAAGATTCTGCAGTAGACATGATGGCAAAGAAATAAAATTGCACCATGCAGCTGTTAACGGAGATGGTTCTGTCCCCAGTCAGGAGACTGACCAGCAGCCGGGGCAGCAGGGTGGAGGAGAGGCAGGTCTCCAACCAGGATAAACTCCCCAGTAAATAGTACATAGGGATTTGAAGTTGCTGATTGGTCACAATTAGCGCAATAATGATGAGGTTCCCGGCCACAGTCACAATGTAAACCACTAGAAAGAGCAGGAAGAGAAGGGGCTGTAGGTGACCAACGTCCCCAAATCCCAAGAGGAGGAATTCCATGATGGACGTTTTATTTCTTTGTTCTGCCTCCTCCATAATATGTATCTGGGGAAAAAAAGAAAATATCAGTTATGGATGGAGTGCGTGCAGATACCTTGTGCCATGGCTCACACTGGAAGGAATGTGGAACAGGCAACCTTGTACCATGGCATGTCTCTGCTGGAAAAATGAAGTTGTTAATGAATAGAAGAGGACTCCTGTAATTAAGGGTGTGTCTAGACTACATGCCTCCTTCGACGGAGGCATGTAGATTAGCCAGATCGG